AGCTACCAGAAGAAAACTGATGGCTATAGAATCGCAACAACAACAACAAATTACACTTGTATAGAGCACTTCACGTCAGAAAGACGTCCCAAACTCATCAAATTCCTTTGACTCCTGCAATCTGGTGCAGGTAATGACACGAGACGAGCACAAGAGCTTCCAATAAACTGCTTGTTTGGAATCAACCTGGACAGCAGGAAAATTAACCCAAGCATCTCTTAAAAATGTTCACCTCTTCCAATAGGTCAGGTCAAGGAAGGAAAAGACTGGTTGCAGCGAGAGCCTCTTCTGGGTTTCTGTGTCGGACCCTTCGTCGGATGGGTTGCTGTAGCTCGGTGACTGGGAAGGTGACATGCTGGATGTCGTGCTGTGTGCGTCCGAATCTGTGCGATTAAAAACACATGTAAAGGACATTGATGCTTCAATTCTCTTCATAAAATGTTCATTTTTTTAAAAAAAAGCACAGAACTACTACAGCAAAAAAAAAAGGCCAATATACTTGACCAGATATTCAGCAGGACTGAATATCTTGTTCATTAGCCTTTTCAGCTTTCAACTTCGTTTTAGTGACAGGCATCGCAAAGGATGGGGAGAAAAGAAAACATGCACAATACTGGCACCCAGAAAAACAACAATTTTTACCAGAGACCTCTAGCAAAGATCCAGCAATAATAATCTTCAAAACCACAACAAAATTACATTTGTATAGCACCTTTCACATCGGGAGGACTTCCCAAAACACTGCCTTTATGGAGAATTTTTGTCATTTTCAACAGGTGCTCACGGAAACTGTAGCACTGAAAGTGCAATTCAATCCACAAAATGGACTGGTCAAGTGATAATCATTCATTCAACTTGAGCATTGGTGATGAGTTTCCCAACCCCTCTTCGTTTGATGCCTGAGTGTGGAGAGGTCACCTGCTGGAGAGATCAGGAGTGGACTGAGTTTTTTTAATATATAAATACGGTCCCTTATCCAACGCCAATTGGATCACCTTCCCGGAGGTCAGACAGCTTAGCATAGGCTCAGTGGGTGTCTCAGCTGCTTACTAGACTTAATTTGTCTAACCACCGGTAAAAGGTCACCGAACATTTCAAATAATTGATGTTTAACATGGACACTTTAGTTCAAAATCGTGTCAGGTTCTTAGTCACTTCCACTATAACCTTCACTCCTCTCTTCCCTCCATCCACCACACTTAATATCTAGTCTAAAAACTCCATTCAGACCCTATGTCTATGATGCACCCATCGTCCCAACTGTAAAACGATTCCCTGACCCAGAAGAGATTCCAATAGCCTAGAAACTTAAACTCTTCCCCTCCAGCCACCTAATCACCTGTTACTTGGTTACCATTTGTTTGAGAATCCATCAGTTAAGATCAGGTGGCTGATTGATTTTGTGATTCATGGTGATTATGAGCTGGACATTTCCCTCTTGTTGGGACGGGAATAGTGTTATGGAGTGTGGGGAAAAGAGAGGTGTATGGGTTTGGGCTGTATGAAAGGCCCTGTATAAATATAAGGTCTTGTTGTTAACCTTGTGTTGTTTCTCTTCTACGTTGCAGGCAGAAGGTTTGCTGTGGCATCATCTACAAAGGTCGCTTTGGGGAGGTGCTGATCGATCCCCGTCTTTTCAAACCATGCTGCAACACAAAAAAAGACTTGAGTCCAGGCGCAGGTGATAACCTCCCTTCAGCCTATTAAAGGGGAATAGTCACGTGCATTGCTATCTCTCCAGGCTCCTCTCAGGTCATTTCACCTGCGTTTGCATCTCTTTGTCTCCCGTGGCAGACTTCTATTTTCCACCACTTGTTTTAGGATCGTTTCATCAAAAAAGAAAACAGCGCCAAATCACGGAAGGGATGAAATAACAGTAACATTTGGGAGATTTTTTTCTGGGTCAAAGTGATGATTTCAAACTCGACTCGTGTATTATCGAAGAGTTAGCTGAACTATTTTTTTGGATGTGAATCAGGCTAATGAGATTTAGCTAGAACTGTCATTGCTGATGATGGAATATGAGTACTTATCACATTGTCGATGGTTTTTTTTAATTGTATGTTTATATAAATAGCATGTAGATACTCTTTCTTTCTAGAGGTGGATCTTCTGTTTCAGAATGTGTTTTACTCCTGGGCCGTGGACCATAGCTTGTGTTTTTATTTCTCTTTTTGCCCAAACTATCTGCTGATCTTGTGAATCAGGATTGCCAGCTTGTTTAGCGATGCATTAGATCGACTCTCGAGGCTGGTTGGTCTAATACTTACCTGTCACTTGGCAGTGGGACCACTTTAATTAACCCTTAAAAGAACATTTTAAGTGCGGCATTTAATTCCAACACAAGGTTCCTTCCAGAATTAAGTAAATAATTTTTTTAGATTAAAATCAGTGTAAAATAAATTTTGTTCCCTCCTCCTCCCCCTGCTCCTACCCTGTTTCCCATTTAGTTGTATTTTTAATCCACTTTATGAGCTGACCAGCACATGGAGTCAGGCTTGATGGACAGCACGTTGGGAGACTGCATAAAACTCAAAAAATTATATGGCGTTGGATTATTCGCCCAGAATGTCTCTCCTTTAAGTTTATATCTAACCTCTAACTCTTTCCCTCTATCCTTCTCTCTTATCCCCTCTATCTGTCCTTAATTCCCACCCTAAAACCTACCTCTTGGACCATGCCTGTTGTTCCCTCCCCCTCTCTGACCCCATTTTTGTAAAGCGTTGAGACATGTTACCTGAAGGGTACTATAAAATGCAAGCTGTTGATGTATCTTGTTTCTCAACATTAATGTAAATAGCTTATCAGGAGATTCAAAATTGTGAGGGGTTCAAGTGACGCCTCAGAGCACCAGGACAAGGTTAGGTTGGGTTGTGGCTGAAAACTAGAATTGTGCTTTGCTTTAAAGATTCTTTTTGCCTCTAGTTGTTTCCCAACCCCCACCTCTCAGATTTTCATATATATATATATATATATGTACACAAAGAATTTGCTGGAAGCTTGAATAGTTTTTGCAAAGGAATTTTTGTTTGGGGTTTCGGCTAAACTCGGAATATTGAACTTTTAAGAACTTCTTCAGCTCCTGCTTTATCCATTCTGTGAAGAGATCAACTTCCTCTGGGGATATTGGCTGTTTAACACCCAACCAAATGGTCATTTGACACATGTGAGGGAACCTCACTCCTGGTTTTACAGAAGAGATCACCAGAGAGTGATCAGGAGCCGGGACACCCTGACGGTTGTGATCAGCCTGAGATCAACTAACACCATGGACCTAGAATGGACGAGAATCTTTTAGACGGCAGTCAGGATAAGTTGGCATATCGTTGAACAGGGTGGCTATGTTTTAGTGAGGGACCTTGCGAATGTACTTCTTATTTAATGATCCTGTAGTCTTCACTTAAAGTACACATTGTGTGAGTGCATTTTTGTAAAAGTGGTGACCAATTTACAATGTGACCTTAACTGACTGACAACTGGAAGCGCTGAAAGGGATTTGACTTGTAATCGTGAGAGCTGACTATCGGTGTTGGTTTGTGCAGTGGGAGTGTCAGATAAGTGACTGATATAGCGCCTTGTGAAACTGCCAGCATTTGGCAAAGGTTCAAAATGCAGGCTGGCTCACTGCTGAACCTAGGCTGCTTGTCACGTGTTCCCTTACTGTCCTTTAGGTGTTCAAAACTACTGATCGAGTTTGACGGGTGTGAATCTTTTAAAAGCCTCTTTGTGTAGGCGAAGGCTATTGACCCCTTCTCCTGCATTCAGCAGTGGAGTTTGTGTAAGTAAAACCGTGAGACACAGCAACCCACAGGATCAATAAACCCAGCGGGATTTCTGATGAATCAAAACAAGAAAGTTTCAGACAAATGATTTGAGTCGCAGCACTCCCACTGGAACGGTTACAGAGTTTATTTTTCAGATGTTCCTGAAAGGCGCTCGCTTTCCCTGCTTTAATCATCCGTGCTGTTTTGTTGACTTATTTTTCCGGCCGTGCAATGGTGTAACTGCTGACTGAGCTCTCTGGTTTGGCAGTGGCCGTGTGTGCTGCACACGGTTGGCTCTTGTTTCATGTTACAGCAGTGACGCCGGGGACAGTCTGGCTGCGACAATGTTCAGCGCTGTGCCCCCGGGGTAATCTGGCTCAACGGTGTACGAGGTTGGCTTTCGTGTCTGTGCCATTATGTTGTTGCTGGAGCGTATGCAGTTTTAGCCTGCGCCTGGGGTTTACACGCAGCCTCTTCCCAATCTCTGCTGAGTTAGATCTCAAATAGGTTGCTGATCAGAGGTAAGTGGGCCGGGCAGTGAGTATGTGGAGAAGTAAAAGAAACCCGTCAGGGTACTCATTCGCTTTCTGGTGATACCCTGAGATGTGGATGTCTGGTGAGCACTGTATCAGGCTTGTCTGCGATGCTTCTTTGACGCACATGAGTCTTTTGCCAGCACACTCATCTGGAGAATGGAGTGTGGGCTCTGGCCATTAGGGGCAAGGAATCAAAGGGTGTGGGATGCCTGTAGAACTGTTGCCTGACCCAGTGCCTTCAGGAGGGGAGAGAGAGCACAGGCTGATGGGTTAATGTTGCTGCTCGAATGCATCCAGGGATGATCGATTGGTTTGACTTGCTGCCTCGGGTAGCGCTAAGCTTGCCAATTGAGCCCAGGTGCTGGGTTGGAAGCTGCAGCTTCAGCCTAGGTGCACGTGTTGGGCTGTAAGATCTTATTGATCCATCCAAGGTCTGTGGCGATGGCTGGAATTTGTGAACGTAAAACGTGACAGTGAAAGAAATTAACCCAGAGTGTCTTTTAACGCTTAAACGTCACTTTTTGCTTAATAAGCCATGGCTTTTGTTCAGATGCCTATGAACTGTAAAAGTTTGGCCTTGGTCTTGGATCCCTCTGTGTGTGTGTGTGTGTGTGTGTGTGTAAATATATATTTTTAAAAGAAAACTTTAATGTAAATAGAATTTGATAATGTAATTTTCTGTAAAGGGCTCATCAATTCTTTGATCTCAGTTCTTAACCTATTAGTTTTGTTGCTGATGAAGCAAAAATACTCCCTCGGAATGCAACAGCATTGCAAAAACAAAAAATACTGCGAATATAGTTTTTAAAATCTCACCCACCACCCCAACCCCTTCCTCTTCCATAGTAAAATCCATTTCCGTTAATTTTTTAATATATATTTCATGTTGTGGTTTGTTTCTGTCATTCAGGCAAAATTTACCTGCAATGAGGGTCTCTTTCTAGCCGGCCCAAACTTGTAGAGTGCAACGTAGCACCCTCTAAATAAAGAGGGGGGGGAGGAGTCGATGAAATATGAAATGCTATATGGAGTTGAGGTTAATACTGTATTATTCTGTCATTAGGTTTAGGAAAAATCCACCTCATCATGTATATTAAATGCGATTGACCACTGTTTTGGTTCAATTCATCAGATGAGAGTGAGTGACATATTGATCTTACTGTGTAGCCTAACTCTGAAATATCACGATAATGAATGTTTGGTGCACAAAACAGTATCGGCAGCTTCACGTAGCTTCAAATTGTGAAATCTGGACACTAATTTATAACAGCATTCATCAGAACGCTGGATTGGATTATGTTCTTGAATCTAGAAGAAAGTTGCCATCATGAAATTTCCGCCATTCCTTTTTATATTGTCTTTGCACAGTGATCTTTGTAGCATTTTGTCTCAACCCGGGACACACCTCCTCCCATCTTTACTGAAATCATCTGTTGCTGTGAAGTTACACTGTTGTAAAACCTTGGTGCGGATAGTCCCCGTTTGTTAACCTGCCAACTCCGTTTCAAATCTTTTTTTTAAATTCAAAAAAAAATGTACACAACGCAGGGATGAAGATGCAATTCTTTTGCACGAGATTGCAGATATCAACCTGAACCGATTTTTCTGTTCTTCAAAATTGATGTGCACATTATGGAAATCATTTTCCTAATGTTCAATTCAAATCTGGAGCAAACTTGCTGTGACCAGCAGATCCATTTCTCTTTTCTTCCTTCCCTTCACCTTTTCGAACTCATAATCTCGACTCTACTTGCAGATGCTTCATGTAGAGCAAGAGATCAGCTACGAAGTCATTCGTTTATATCTGGGCAAAATATTAATATTTAATAGTTCTGTCATACCATTGGCATAATCTGGTTTTCTGGTAAAACTCTTGAATATTGGTTGCCAAATCTGAATTTTGTGTGAGATTTACCTGGAAACGTAGTCGTGCCTTATTACAAATCAATGAAGAACCATGTAGGAATTCACACTTATGAGGCTTCTTTTTGTACAGAGGTTGGACAGAACTGTACATGTCTTGTTCAACGTTGGTATTTATTTATTTATTGGGTTTAAACATTCCATGAATGCTCAGTTACTAACATGAGTCCAATATCTGTTCCAAAGTCTTTGAGCTTGTGCACTTTTTTTTATGAAATGAAACATTTTTGTGACCGAACAGCTTTCATATGACTGCAGTTTTATAGACACTTGTGATACTGTTTTTGTATTTAATAAAGATGTAATGTAAAAACGATAAACTCCTGGTTCTGTCCTTATTCTGGGATGATTGACTTGCACAACACGGACGTTTTGTGCGTACAGTGTCATTTCACGTTGTGTGATTGAAGTTTACTCTCGAGACTAGGAGAGTAACCTAATACTGGACCTGCTGCATCAGTGGTGACTAGTCTCACATTCCATGCAGTGCTGGGAGTGTGCAGCATTGTTGGAGAAGCTGTCCTTCGGATGGGACATCAAACCAAGGATTTCTCTGCTTTTTCAGATGGACGTTAAAAAATCCCATGGCACTATTCAAAAAGAGAAAGGGGTTTCTTCCAAGGAACTTGCTCGTGAACTATGGCTGAACCCTTGCCCCTGATTTGGTTGGCATTTCACTGCCTTAACAACGTTCAATGTGGATTTCATAGGTTTTGATCGATAAAATTAGGCAGATTTCATTTAGCAGAGACGAGCATATGTTTTAGCTGAAGTTGAAAGGCATTGCAGATCTAGAATTGGTTGTGTTGAGGATTATTCCCTTTTCTCTGTTGCCCAGTGCAATCCATCATGCAAGGATTTGCTTTGAGGTTAGCAACTGTTGTGGATTTAATGTCCTAATTAGCTTTTCTGTCCCACCTGACAAGATTTGGCTGGGTTAGGATCATTGGTCTCAGTGAATACTTAGTGGCAGCTGTCTCCATTTGCCAAACAACAGATGATTGCATTTTAAATATAATGGGTATAAAGCATACATCAGCGAAGTGTCTGAGATTCAGTATAACAAAGAGTCAGTGTAATGCTGGAACAGTCTAAGATCTAATTGAAGAATAATATGTTTCCATCTACTGTCGTGGATAATATCCAGATTGGGAAACTGATTGGTTGAA